AAGATGGCTGTATTTCATTTTTTACTTCAAAAAAGTGCTAAAAACCGGCGGCTCTCAATAAATAAAGCATCGATCAAAGTTGATATGCTAAATTAGAAAAGACAATGTGGAGATTCTTACGCTTGGATAAAGAAACCCGAATCTGAAATGCATTTTACTCTGACATCATTCGGCACCATTGCCCTAAACCGGTCGCAGTTCAAAATAGCTGCTAATCCTCCGGCCGAGTTGCCAGCAAGGATAACCTTTTATTTTGTTTTTTTTTTTTAATACATATATATTTCAATTAATTGCATCAAAAGTGTTGTATTAATTGATTATAATATTGAATAATAATTAGTTTAAATGCATATATTGTTCATGGAAAAATACAGAAGTACGTACATTTTGGGCATTTTGCAATCCTTTTGTTAGTAGCTCTTTAACAATTTCTCCAAAGATCGTTGAGCCTCTATAATGGAGGTTTGTTGCCTGAATATATATAATATATAATAGTACGTAATTGGGAATTAAATATATAAAAAGAGACACCACAAAAATAAGAAAAAAAAAAAATTAAAATATACATAATTTATGGAAATTAATGCAAAAAAAAAAAAATATATAAATCCAAAATCAAATCTTGAACACACACACACACACACATAGATAATTATCAGTTCGAATTACTCATTTGATTATACTCTTAACTTATAATTACACTTATATAATAAATATTATTGTTATATAATTTAATAGTTAGTCAGTCAATATTTTTTTTTTAAGACTCACCGGATCAACAGCTTTAACATCTCCTATAAACGACGACACATCACAATATCGTAGGTAAACCTTATTCCAGTTGTAGAAATCTATAACAGAAACATTAATATTTAACATCACGAAATTAAATAAATAAATTGTTATGTAATTAAATTATTGTGGGTGAGTGAAAATGAAATATTGAATGTACCTGGATTGGTGGTTTGATCTGGGCTGAGTATGCCATCAAAATAGACGGCTCCGATGTTATTAGTTGATGAAGTAATTGGCGAGTTTTGGACTCTGACCTGGCAATCAAACGTTGTGCTACACCAACCCCCTCCCTACATTACAATTTTGTATTTTTGTTTCTTATTTTATTTAATTTTCACATTTTTTGTATTAATTAATTTCACTTGTCAAATATTAATTAAGAGAAATGTTACGGTCCCGTTACAGAACCATTCTGTCGTGGTTTGTAACCGTTAAATCAACTATCCCCGACGACTACATGATGATCTAACGATTACAAACCTCGATGGAATGGTTCCGTAACGGGACTGTAGCATCTCCCCAGCTTAATTAATTAAGTGGTTTAGTTTTGATAGATTTAGAGTTGAAAAAACGGACCATAAGATAAACGAGCCAACTATTTGCCCCATTTCCAAATCCCTCAAAATAATGGTAACCTGCTGGGCTACCATCTAAGCAAACTGCACCAACAAACAATAACCAAAATAAATAAATAAATAAATAAATTACCAAAATTGAAAAAAAAGGGAAAAAAAAAAGAAAAAGGGAAAAATGTACCTGCTCCTTTGGCCACAGCATCTGAAAGAAGTGTAAGTGGGACCATTGCACCATACCCATTGACTTTATTATTATTCATCACTATAATAATAAGTGCAAATGCAAAGAACAATATTTGTAACCAATATTGGCCAGCAGCAGCAGCAGCCATTTTCGAGAGAGAGAGAGAGAGAGAGAGAGAGAGAGAGAGAGAGAGAGAGAGAGAGAGAGAGAGAGAGAGAGAGAGCTTACTGTAATTAATGAGAATTTGTAAAATGAATACAGACAAAAAAAAAAAATAAAAAAATAAAAAAAGAGAGCTTACTGTAATTAATGAGAATTTGTAAAATGAATACAGACAAAAAAAATAAAATAAAAAAAAAATAAAAAATATGAACTCAATTTAGATTATGTAGCCAATTTAATAAACTAGTCCATGACCATGAGTCGCAAGAGTCAATGACTTTTTTTCCTCTATCTTTTTTAACGAGCTTGGACTTTAGTTGATTTTGCGACAATCCAATGCTGATTGATTTGATTGTCGTTGTCGGTGCGAATTATTTGTCCGCATGCATGTAAATAAATAATGAAATTACCAAGAACGCGATTGCTTGGATGATATGGCTTGGGTCTTTTCTAGCTTAACTAGTGGTCTCGTGTTCGAGCTCTGGGAATGCAACAGTGTTAAAAACTCTTGAGGGAGAACTTTGCCGCCCTTGTGGCCCTACCGACTCGATTCCAGATTAGTCAGTTCCACTGTAGATCCAAAAACCGAAATGTCCTTTTACAAAAAAAAAAAAAAATGAAAAAATGAAATTGGGAGCGTTTTCATGAAGATGTAAGGTAGAACAAGATCGTGACCTATATATATACATACCCTATAGATATAATTAGTTTTGCACTCTAATATCATCACATTTTCAAAGTAATCATTTACTATATATAATTTTAACAACATTAATTTAACTTTGTAAAACGTTATAACCCAAAAGGACACTCTTGTCTGTTCAAGAATGGAGGCACTCATGATTTGAAATTATCCCATTATCTGAAATCTATCTGTCTAGATCAAAGGTTGCTTGAGTTGAATTTGAGGATTGACCAGCTACCCAACCCCAGCTAGACTTGTCAAAACGGGTAGCAGCACACGGGCCAGCCCACCCCACCCGCCAAAATGGTGGACTCGGCTGAGAATTTAGAGCCCCGCAAAAAAAAGGGCTCCGCGGTCTGGCCCGCTTAAGAAATAAAAGGGCTGTAAGAGGTATCGGTATCCCATTCCTATGCAGCCCAACAACATCAAAAAGCCTACAGCCCAAATTATGATAACCCTAGCCCAACTTTCCATCTCAAAATTCCTACAGCCCCAAGAAAACCAGATCACCACCTCTGAAGATGAATAACCAAACTCTCCATATCATTTCCTATCTCGAAAATCATGGAAATAGTACAATGAGTAAAACATATATATTTACTTGAAATAGAAACTTAAATCCCGCTTAAAAAAAAATAAAATTACTAAACTTGGTATTTTTCTGAAAATTTTTAAAAACTTCCGCTTCTAGAAATTAATTAATAAATTTATGATATAGAATCGACAAAATTAGTAAATCATGTTTTGATATAAAGTGGAAGATTTTGTTTAAGGTATCTGATGACCATTACTATTTTTTATAGGAAATGTGTTGCTATTAATAAATGTCTGAATCTATGATATAAAGTGGGTCATTTTATTTTGGTATGAAATATTCGAATTTAAATGGCGTGTATAGAAGTGTATTTAGAAATTTTGAAAACCAAATACGTGGTATGAACTTTATTTTGGCATGGATGATTCTCAAATTTTAGCATATTCCCATAATAACTTGTCATATGTATTGATGACAATTCGGAAATTGGTATGTATTCGTCTTGAAAATCATAAAGATCTTTGAACAAATATTGACTATTAAAATTTAAAATTTATAAGTTTATTTTAAGGAATTGTTTGATAAAATTGAAAGATAAGATAATCGACAACAAATCCAGAAAATTGTGATATAATATGTTTGTGTGTGTGTGTGTGTGTTTGTTTGTGAAATATATAAAAGAATTTATTGTATAGTCCAGATTTGAGTTTCAAATTTAAAAGTCAACTTTGTAATTATTCATAACTTGTCAATATTAACTTGGACATAAATAAAATAATCAATTATTTATAATTTAACAAAATTACTCAACTACTTCAATTTTTTTTTTATTTGGATAGTTTATAAGAAAATATATTGATCTTAATTAATGAAAAAAAAATGTAAGTTTTATAAATTTACTTATTATTCACATAGATTTTTAAATATATGATAAAATTTTATCAGAATAATTATTTTATGGAATCACATTGTAGTCAAATCAAATTTATGAATAAAATTTTTAAAATGAAGCTATTTTTTTAAAAAAAAAAATATAATATAATGTATCATTAGTGCACCGTACGAGTTGTCACTACAATAAAATGATGAAATTCCAACGGAAATATATTTCAAACAATTATTCCAACGGAAATTCCAACGAAAATATTCCGTTGGAATGGGTTTTCCATTGGAATTTCCGTTGGATTTTGACGATTCCAACGGTGGATTTTCCAACGGGGGTGGAAAAAAAATTCCAACGGAATTTACATATTCCAACGGAAATTTCTACGGTAAAAAGCCGTTTCACCGTAGGAATTATAGCCGTTGGAATCATCAAATTCCATCTAAAATTCCAATGAAAAACACATTCCAACGGAATATTTCCGTTGGAATTTCTGTTGGAACTATTCCAACGGAAGCTATTCCATTGGAATATCCGTTGGAATTTCCATTGGAATATATTACCATAGGATTTTCCGTTGAACATTTATTTTGTAGTGTGTACTAACTTTAAATAGACATGTTTTATATAATTTTGCCCGATTTAAATCCATACAATACTTTCAATAAACTAATATAGATAAAATGTATTGCATGTAGATTCCTTATTTCAAATATATAAATATTATTTAATGAGTACTTTTATTATATAAAATATTGATGAGTATCTCTTATTCGTGTATTGCACGAGATACTCGTAACAGCTGTAATGATAATGATAGATTTTGGGTAACTACACCCTTCAATTCAGGTTACAGTTTATTGGACGATCTGACTGAGTGTCGATCAACTTGACATTAGCAGCTCGATCAAAGTACCAATCCCCAATAGCTTGTGCAATGTTCTGCAATTAATATTCAAAATCATATTGATTGATTATATTGCATTCAAATGAAATTAACTAAATAACCACTATTAATGTAGCAGCATGTTCATTAAAAATGTTTGGACAACTTCGTAATTTATTCGAAAATGACTAAAAAATATAATAATAAAAATGTTATATGTGCTATAATCATCCAATTTCTTATGTAAAATTACTATTAATTTAAATGTGAGAGAAAAAAAAAATAATAAATAAAGGTGGAAAAGATTACCTTATTTTCCAATGTGGGAGAAGTCCATCTTTGAGCGCTCCAAAGAAAATCATGGATGTAGCAAGAGATGATAAAAAATCCTCTTGATGGAGGATCACCACTATTTCTCACTGCAGTCTCCAGGAATGTGTCTTTAAAATCTGGAATTAAATTCACACAACTTAAAATACGCACATATATATTTTTTTTCGTTTTCGTAACGAGACTGTATCATTTCCCAAAATGAAGTACCTACCCTTCATAATTTGTAATTCAGAAGGTGTGCAAGTTTCTATATTCCTGGTGCAACCATCCCAACCAGGGTCGTCATTCGGTTTGAAATTATAGGAGAGCTGAAAAAAAAATATATATATATATTGTAGGACATTTATTTGATTAATAAAGTAAAATTGGTACAAGATTAAGATTTTTTTTTTTTTTGTGTGCATTAATTAATTAAAAAATGGGCTTAATAATTACCTGATATTGATCAAAATCAGAGTTGAGGAGGAAGAGTGGGGTCTCAATATCGCCAACCAAATTTTCGGGGAAAAAACACTGCACACACACACATATATATATATATACATATATAGATATATTTATATATAAATATATATATTAATTGAATTTGATCAATAACCCAAATCAAATATCCAAACACTTATTATGGAAAAAGTCAAATAGAAAAGTCAACTCACCAAACCGGAATCCATTCTTGAGGTACATGATTTTGGTAGAGAGTTTGCTATTTCCTACACCAAATTTAATATATTTGATGTTAATTGTATATTAAATTAAATTAAAGCCCTATTTTGTGCTGACTTAGTTTATATATCGGTTTTGCTATGAAGCCAACAGTTGACTTCATAGTGGAACCAACCTTCTATATACAATAAATAAATATACCATATTAATAAAGTTATATTAGTGTTATTTAAGTAATTATAAAATATGGTAGGTTTATTTGTTGTATATAGAAGGTTGGCTCCACTATAGAGCCAACTGTTGGCTTCATAGCAAAACCGATTTATATATAGTGCTATATATGCATTATTATAGAACTAAGGCAAGGAGCAATACATGGAGCTCAACCACTTGGGCAAAATAAGATTCTCTTTGATATGCATTTGGGAGGTCTTTCCTGAAGTAGAGAAATAAAAATAAATAAATAAATAAAATAACATTGGAAAAATTTATAAATCTGCGAGTTAATTAAACGTATAAATAAATAATGCGTCGATCAAAGTTGATATGATAAATTAGAAAAGAAAATGTGGAGATTCTTACGCTCGGATAAAGAAACCCGAATCCGAAATGCATTTTACTCTAGCATCATTGGGCACCATTGCCCTAAACCGGTCGCAGTTCAAAATAGTTGCTAATCCTCCGGCCGAGTCGCCAGCAAGGATAACCTTTTTTTTTATATACATATATATTTCAATTAAATGCATCAAAAGTGTTGTATTAATTGATTATAATATTAGAAAATTAATTAGTTTAAATGCATATATTGTTCATGGAAAATTAATACAGAAGCGATCAAGTGAAAAAGTGGTGGTACGTACATTTTGGGCATTTTGCAATCCTTTTGTTAGTAGCTCTTTAACAATTTCTCTAAAGATCGTTGAGCCTCTATAATGGAGGTTTGTTGCCTGAATATATATAATATATAATAGTACGTAATTGGGAATTAAATATATAAAAATGGACACCAAAAAAATAAGATTAAAAAAAAAAGATAAATTTATGGATATTAATGCGAAAATAATATAAAACGAGAAGAACATAAATAAAGTTGCATAACTTGAACACACACACATAGATAATTATCAGTTTTAATTACTCAATTAATCATATTTTTAACTTAAGTACCCCTATATAAATAATAAACATTGTTGTTATATAATTTAATAGTTAGTCAGTCATATTTTTTTTCAGAACGCCTCACCGGGTCAACAGCTTCAACATCTCCCGTAAACGACGACCCATCACAGTATCGTAGGTAAACTTTATTCCAGTTGTAGAAATCTAGTATATTGGAAACATTAATTAATATATATATATATATAATTAACATCGCAAAATAAATAAATAAATAAATTGTTATGTAATTATTGTGAGTGAGTAAAAATTATTTAAATGTACCTGGATTGGTGGTTTGATCTGGGCTGAGTATGCCATCAAAATAGACGGCTGCGATGTTATTAGTTGAGGAAATCATTGGCGAATTTTGGACTCTCGACTGGCAATCAAACGTTGTGCTACACCAACCCCCTCCCTACATTTCAATTTTGTATATTTGTTTCTTATATTTTATTTAATTTCACAATTTTGTATTAATTAATTTCACTTGTCAAGTATTAATTAAGGGAAATGCTAAGGTCCCGTTACAGAATCATTCCTTAGCAGTTTGTAACCGTTACATCAACTATCCTCGATGTTTATATGATGATCAACGACTATAAACTCCGACGAAATGGTTCCGTAACTGGACTGTAACATCTCCCATTAATTAATTCATTGGTTTAGTTTTGATAGATTGAGTTGAAAAACGGACCATAAGATAAACGAGCCAACTATTTGCCCCATTTCCAGATCCCTCCAAATAATGGTAACCTGCTGGGCTACCATCTAAGCAAACTGCACCAACAAATAAAAACCCAAAATAAATAAATTAATTAATTAATTTTTAAATTACCAAAAATGAAAAAAAAAAAATAAAAAAAAAAAATAGCTTCAGGTATTTAATTTGCTGCTAGTTTTAATAATTTACCAAAAATGAAAAAATATATATATATATTTGTACCTGCTCCTTTGGCCACAGCATCTGAAAGAAGTGTAAGTGGGACCATTGTGCCATACCCATTGACTTTATTATTCATCATCACTATAATATTAAGTGCAAAGAAGAACAATATAATTTGTAACCATTGGCCAGCAGCAGCAGCCATTTCGAGCTTACTGTAATTAATGAGAATATATGTAAACTGAATGTAATTTGATACTACTATAAATTAAATTGACAAATATGTTGAATATATATAAAATCCATGAGCCGCAAGAGTCAATGACTTTTGGGCTTTAGTTGATTGCGGCAATCCAATGTTTGATTGTCGGTGAGAATTACTAGTGATAATCCCGGGTTTCGTATTTTAAAATATTTTTTCAAAATTTTATTTTAACAATATATGAGTCCGCTGACCCAATTTTTATTGATATAAATGATATTTTAATATATATATATATATATTTATTTTTAATACAGAAAAAAGATAATAATATTACAATTATAATGTCGTATAATATCATTATTATTTACAACAATTATAAAAGTAATTTTATTTTTTATCAAATACTAAATATTTATATTAATATTATTTATTGATGTGATTAATTTAAAATTATATAAGTAAATTTAATATTTATTAGGATATGATTATATGGAAGGTAAGATAAAATGGAATGAATAAACCTTAATTGAATAAATGCACCTTTTAAAAGGAAGCATTTAGTGGTACCTGATTTTATGATAAATAAAATTCATAATTTTTCAATGTGACATGCAATTAATTTTGACGAATTTTTTTTGTTACTATTTTCGATAAATAAGTTGTATGTTTAATTACATATATTTGTCCGCATGTAAAATAATGAAGAAATTGGGAGTGTTTTCATGCAGATCATGTAAAGTAATATGGTTTTGTTTGAATTTTCCCAAACAAGATCGTGACCTATATATACCCTCTAGATATAATTATTGCTTTTGCACTCTAATTTCATAGTTTTCAAAGTAATCATTTACTATAATTTTTTTTTTTTTTTTTTTTGGTACAGGGGACCTTCCGGTTTCCGGATCCACATGGGAATCGACTAATTGGGAATCGAGCCGGGTAGGACCACAAAGGCGGCAAAGCTCTCCCTCAAGAGTTTTAACACTACTGCATTCCCAAGGCTCGAACTCGAGACCACTGGTTAAATTGGAAGAGACCCAAACCATCTCATCCAAGCGGTTATACATTTTAACCCAAAAAGGACATTCTTGTCAAATTGAAGATTTCACCTCATATATATATAGCACCCTAACAAACTAAATTTTAAAACAAAATTAATTTATTACAAAATAATATTTAAACACACACACAAATAAAACACATAATTACTACAAAAAAATAAAATAAAATTCCACAGATAATTTATTCCATAAAAATTTCAATTAACATCTCAATATTGTAATTTTTTGTTGAAGATGCAGGGGCTGGAAATAATCTGAATGTAGCGGCTGGCCGAGATGCCAACCGAAAGATGTGGTTACCGACGCAGTCAATGGCCGACGGCCAACAATCAACGCCGGTCAGCCGGCGGTCAACAACGGTCAACAGAATTATATTTTTTTTGTTATATATTTAATTTAATATAATAATTAATATATTTTGTTATTTAATTAATGCATATTTCAATAGATTAATGTGAGTCATTGATCTGCACAAAAATGAATAGCTAAGATTGAGTCTCACTTATTATTTAAAAAGTGTCCTCATTTGATCCACCTATATATATATGTGTACGCGTACGCATATGCGCGCGTATTTCATTCACTTGTTTATTTCTTGATTCACGAAGTATTTGGATACATGTGATGGGGGAATGGATCATATAACCAGTTAGGCATAGATACAAGGATACAAACACAAGTACTCATCCATTTAATTAATACTGAGGTTTAACACACTTCAAGTTGAACTCATTCGTTTCGAGGGTGCTGCTACAGTCCCGTGGCACATCATCTTCAGTATCGATCACTTGGAAAGAAGATCGGTCGAAATACCAATCGCTAATAGCCTCTCTTATTGTCTGCAGAATATGCAAAATTCCCACTAGTGTTAATTAATTAGATGATCTTTATTACTACCCTTTCTAATATATTAATTTTACCCAAACTAATTAAATTGTAGTAACAAAAATTAGTTAATGTACTTGATATAAGAAGACTTACACTAAAAAAAAAAATGAAGTTTGATTAATTACCTTGTTGGCCAGAGTGTTTCCAACAACAGATGAGCATCCCCAACGGTCTTTCGAAATGAGGTGTCCATGCAAATAGCAAGAGTGTACGAACATTCCTCTACTTGGACACGTATTTAGATTTTGCAATGTCGTTATGAAGGTACACCGAAAATCTGATAATTTTATATATATATATATATATATATATATATATTTTGGACAATTTTTAATCGAAAAATAAAAATTTTAGTATTATATTTTCAAATTAATCTGAAGAAACTAATTATTTAACTGATGATAATTTTGATATCTATATATTAATTACACTTTGCATGAGGTTTATTTCATGAGATGTACAATGTGTCACATTGGCCGTACAATTATTCCAGTTTGGGGGAGCACCAACTGCATTTATGTAATTCTGTTCAACCTGAAACAAAACCAAATTCGTATCATGTGGTGATTTTTTTTCTCATATAGAGTTTATTGAATTTGTTTACGTTTTCGTTGGAACATCACTTGTGAGTCGTCTCACATCAATAAGTCTATTGGGTTACTCCTCCCATCACCAATTGGTTTTAGGATGGATTCTTACTACGGTGCATATAGCTTCACCCATTTATGGTGCGCTTCACTGCGTGGGACCGCACCCCTAATCCCCCGAGTATTAAGAATTTGAAAGTTTTTCATGAAATAATTTTGACATACCTGAAATAAATCGAAAGCCGATTCAAGTATAAAGATTGGCGTCTTTATATCTTCAATTACATTTTCTGGGAATAGACACTGTAATTCAACAAAATGTTAGTGTATATATCACCAAAATTTTTACTTTCTGTTGATACAAAATTAATTTATTTAAATGTAGTAATCTTTTTTTATTTTTTTATTTTCTCTCACCAAATTTGGGTTCATTTTCGATGTGCAAGACTTGGGCATTCTTTCAGCTAATTTCTGCATGACATATATCAAAAATAAAATAAATATCACGTCATACATATATATATATATATATATATATATTTAAAAATGCTACAGTCTTGTTACGGAACCATTCTGTCCGGATTTGCAACTGTTAGATCATCATGTAATCGTCGTGGATAGTTGATCTAACGGTTACAAACTCCGACATAATTGTTCAACTGTATTTTTTATGATCATATAAGAACATGCATGGAATATGGAGAAACCATACATGCACTTGAATCACATCAGCAAAGCGTTTTACTCTGATCGTCTCAGCTCCGGGGAGATTTTTTCTGTACGTTGTAAAATGAACATATTTAACATAAATAGATGTAGAATATATTGATGAGTTGCCATAAAACTCATATTCATGCATTTAACTATCAAAACTTAATTATTATTTGAATCAATAATTGGGTTTAATTTATATATGAGCACGTAGTCGTACCCGTGTATGAAGAAACCAGAATCTGAGATGCATTTTACTCTTGTAGCGTTCGGTAGAAGTGCGCGAAATTTGTCGCAATGTAAGATGGTAGCCAATCCGCCAGCCGAGCCACCGCTAAGTATAGCCTTTATATATATATTTATGCATTATTAAGATTTAGTATGTCTAGAATAATTTAATTGTGTTTAAAAAGTACTATAATTAAACTAGATTTTAGTTAAGATGATTAGAAGATTTGTACATTATCTGCACTCTTCATTCCTACCTCCCCTAAAACTCAGCTTGTTTGCCTGAAAAAGATAATAATTATAAAAGTTATTAACTTTTAAAAGTTCGAAAAAGAATGAATAGAAGGAAGTTCATATTTACAAGAACAACCCTAAAATGCCGCAAAATTATGATTACGAAACACTAAAAATTGACTCATACAAATCATTAGAATTGACATTTAAGTTCGAAAAACTCTGTATTATTTAACTATTTATATATATAAAAAGAAATTTATGAAAATAATGTAATCATTATTGAAAATTTACACTTAATTGCCGGGTCAACTTCTGGGATATCTGCCATGAATGACGCACCATCGCAGTACACCACATACACTTTATTCCAGTTGTAGAATTCTTAAATTGATGGGAAAAAAAAATAATAATAATAATAAAAAAAAAAAGAAAAAGGTATAGCCATAATAAATATAGCATTACCTATATATAGGTAATATTAATTGTTAGGTATGTATGTAATTATTCAATTAAATTAATAAAAAATGCTAAGGTCTCGTTACCGAATCATTCTATTGGGGTTTGTAACAATTAGATCATCATGTAACCGTAAAAAATAGTTGATCTAATAGTTACAAATTCGGATGTAATGGTTTCGTAACGAAACCTTAGCAGCTTTCTAAAATTAATATACCTGGATTAAATGTTTGATTTGAATCAAGTATGCCCTCAAAGTAGATTCTACTCCTGTTATAACTGTCTCCAAACATGGTCTTACTTCTTTCCACGCAATCACATGTTGAATTGCACCATGCACCTCCCTGCAATTCATATTATAATATATATATATTTAATTTTTTTTCCTTTCAATTATATATATATATATATATATATATATATATATGCAAAATTATTTTGAATTATCGAATTATTTAATACGATTAACACAAAATTTTACTAAAATTAATATATATATATATAAAATAAATAAACGACCTCAATGAAAACCACCAAATTATTAGCTCCAGACCCAAATCCTTGATCTAAGGCAAAAGCTGGAGGACTGCCATTTAAACAAACTATAGAACAAAAAATGGTGAAAATAAATAAATAAATAAATGTTACATGTGTGAGATTATAATTAATTTGTTATTTAGAGAAAATATAAGATTATATATATTAATTAATTGAAATTGAATTACCTGCTCCTTTTGATACAGCGTTGTCGACATGAGTGAGTTTAACGAAGTTAGCGCCGTTAACTTGAACGTTCAACACAACAAGTGAAGTGATCAATAGCTTTACAAAGTGGTCAACGGCCGTCTTCTTAATGTTCTTCCCCATGCTGTACAACAAATATAAAATAAAGATCCTTATGTTATAAAATGCGAGCAATATAAAGAACACAATTTATAAAAACCGGAACAAATTATAAGTTGCTTTATTTCTTCACACTTCGGTACTCACATCACAATGTGTTTGGCCCCTTTTATAGACAAAGGGGCACACATCCCAATACACATATATATATAATAATGTAATGATAAGTAGTGGTAAATCCACTTTTACCCAACACTCCCCCTTAGAATTACCACTATTAAATGTGCGTTTATACTGCCTCGTTAAAAACCTTATCTGGAAAAACCCTGTGGGAAAAACCTAGATAAGGAAAAAAGAGTACAGCCGCACATACTCCCCCTCGAGTTATCATCCGTGCAAATCTCGAAGATGTATCATTCCAATATTGTGCACGTGCTTTTGAAATATTGTCGTCGGAAGCGCCTTCGTAAACAAATCTGCTGCATTATCGCTTGATCGAATGTATTGAACTTTGATTTGTTTGTTTCTTTCAAGCTCTTGCGCATATAAGAATAACTTTGGCGGGATATGTTTAGTTCTGTCACTCTTGATGTATCCTTTTTTGGTTTGAGCGACACATGTTGCATTGTCTTCGAATATCACCGTCGGATCATTATTGTTCGATAGTCCACTGGCTTGTTGAATATGTTGAGTCATGTTTCTGAGCCAGATGCTTTCCCTAGTTGCTTCATGGAGTGCAATGATCTCAGCATGGTTTGAAGACGTCGCGACTAATGTTTGTTTTTGGGAGCGCCAAGAAAATGCAGTTATGCCAATTGTAAAAACATATCCAGTTTGAGATCTTGCTTTATGGGGATCTGAGAGATATCCTGCATCTGCAAAACCGATTATTTCATGTTTTTTATCGTTAGAATAAAACA